TTTTCGTCGCACTACTATTTGATATTTCCGTGTCACTAAGTTTTTATATGCAGGACGGTTCATATGTTTTTGCCTGCAAAGCAGGCAAAAACATATGAACCGTCCTGCTTATAAAATAATTAGTGACGGAATATGCCAAATAGTAGAGTGTCAACAACGTTGAAACGTTGATTTAGATTGTTTTGTGTCGGATCATCTTTCCTTGGATCTAGCAGCAGTAAAAGAAAGGTTGCCATTGAACGAACTAACAATATTGGGAAATAAAAATATTAAAAATATGTTTAGTTATATTAATGAGTTGTGGATAGGTGGTAGATCTCTGGAAACCCCATTCATTAGCGTGATTACCAATATTTGTCATAATGTGGTTCGTATTTATATAATACTTATATTTACATATTTACATTTTTTATTAAAAAAATTTTTTTCTTTTACAGGAAACTATGATAGTATCATTTGAACCCTTTGACTTATTCTTGCCTCGAGATGTACCACCTGAAAATATCTCGAAATTAATCTCTTCACAAAAAAATCTCAAATTATTTACTTTGATCTCATATAAAGGTACATCTTATTCTTTTCTTAACTCTCTTGAAACTCAGTCTCATTCGTTAGAAAGAGTACACATCCGTTCCACTTTCTTTAAATCTGGTGGTCCAAATTTGAGTGGTATTGCTGAATGTAAATTACTCAAAGCAATAGTTATCGATGAATGTGAGAATGTTACTTTGGAGTTAGTCAAGCCATTGATGAATGCTGGGCTTTATATGTTGACTTACGTTTATTTTTACTGTCCATATGGTCCTATATTCAATGATGAGTTTACCCAATGGGCTAATTCTTATGATAATGGAGGAAAGAAAATGTATTATCGTTACAAAGGTGAAAAGACCAATTCTAAATTTAATAATTGAAATTCGCCTCTGTATAATTATTCTGGCCAACCCCATTCATATGACACTGATACACATCATCAGGCGTTTATTTCTACTGCCTTATATCCCAGGTGAGCAGGCATATAAATTCTATTTTAAAAAAAGTATAAAATGTATAAGTACCGTAAATGGCCGGATACAAGATCCAGGTCTGTTACATTTCATCAATTTTAAAACCTATAACCAGGATTGGTGGATATTTGGTTAATTTTCTTTATAAATATATAAAAAAATAATTTAAACCTTTAAAACTAAACTGTATGTAGCGTAAGTAAAATAAGTAAGTTTATTTAAAAAGCAATTATTTTAAAATTTAAATAAATTTAGAAGAAAAGTTACTGTATCTAAATATTTGGTTGGGGGTTTTTTTTATTTTTAATGAAAGTACAGAACAAGATATTGATAATTTTTCAATCAAAAATTTGGTAAACTATTATATATACGTACACTATTTATATACATATACTGCAGTACTGTATTTTTTTTTTTTTTTTTTTTTTTTTTTTTTAAGTGAGGTCTTTTCCTCAGTTCCTTTATTATTCATTATGCAGATATTAC